GTATCCTGTTGTTGGAATGTTTGAGATTTTTAGTTTACATTCATTTAGTGTTTAAAGATGTTATTAGTAATGACTTGGGTCTGTCTCTTGGCCTCTCTGTCTCATCGTCTTTTCTGTCTATCTGTCTGTATGTCTCGTAACGCTATGAGTCTCCTGGATTAACCAAATACTTTAGGGATTTAACTAAGATTATTCATCGTTATTGTTAATCTGTTTCTATATATTTTTTTTTCTATATTTCATTACGTCTGTCTGCCTCTCTGTCTGTCTGTCTGTCTATCTGTCTGTCTGTCTGTCTCTCGGTGTTGGAACAAGTTTATTATCTCCCATTAATTTCTCCATAATTTCCCAAGCATTTATCACTCTAAACAGGATCTGAAATCACAAGAACAGGGGCTAGGAGACATTGGAGGGTGTCTGGACTCCATTAGTGCGGAGAAGCTGCAACAGATGACCACTTTGGAGACCCTAGATCACATTACTGGGTCTCCTAGGCTTCATACTGCTAGGAGACATCACCACCACGCCACTCCTAACCATGACCCTACGACCGCACCTTCGCTAGCCACTCCCACTGCGCAAGCTTCAGGTGAGGTGACGCACACACACACACACACACACACACACACACACACACACACACACACACACACATAAAATATGCTTATAAACCTAATATTCAGGTAATTCTTTAACATCCTACGACTACAGGTGTTATATAGAACGTAATTAATAACATAACATCTTTTTTGGGGGTTGTGGCTGCAGACTTCGAGCATCAGTTCATGAGAGTATTGAACAAAGTCTACAACACCATAGAGAAGAATGAAGTCAGGCTAGGTGAACAGGACAGAAAGGAGGCGACTCGTGTTCAATGGCAACAGGTAAGTGAACAAAGGTGATTTTTTACCTTTATCTCAACACCATAACATTTCACCATACAGTTTTATATTCATCACTATACGTCATAATACTTCACTATATTGTATTTTGGTTTTGTGTTTCTTGAGATAATTTACGGAGATGTGTCTACCTCCATAACATCCGTTCGTTGTCTCAAAAACACCTCCATCCATCATCAGCTATCTATCCGACTCTATGACGTCACGCCTACACGAACGGATCTTTTGTTGTGATCGCGCGACTACTGCTACTACTACAACTTTACCCCTACTACTACTACTACTACTACTACTACTTCTTCTTCTTCTACTACTATTACTGTTACAGATGGCCTCCAGCTTCCCCCAATAGCCACACCTTCGCCGCCATTTTATTACCTTAATATTAAATATCCTAATACATAAGAAGCTATCCTAGCTGTGTTGAGTTAGTTGAGCCGCAGATCTATGCGGCATTCAGTGACTGTTGCCTCATAGTCAATATCTGCGGCAGTTGTCGGCTTTGGGGCAGAAGCTCTCGTTTTCCTGAGGCAGAGCAAAGCCGACCCAAGGAGAGAGAAGGACAGTCGACATCTCATCCAGGCTGTGACATAACTTCTGGGCTGCTGCTTCTGTTCGGAGATCACCTCCGCGAGTCTGGCGTAGAAACATCTTGCACTTGGTCCCATCCCACCAGAGGTTGTTAACACTAGAGGAGTGAAGCTGCCTTGATCAACAATACTTACAAACTTTTATACATATCTAGACAGATTCGTTCATCATGACTTTGTGGGTTATCTAATTAAAGCTCACTGATTTAACACACATTGACATTTGTAAATAAAAAAGTATACCCACCCCCAGTCCCCCAGTCCACCCCCAGTCCGCCCCCCCCCTCCCTAGTCCCAAATAATTATAAAAATATATTAAAGTGTAAAAAAAATACATACCCCCCCCCCAGTCCACCCTCCCCCCAGTCCCTGAAAAAGAGTATTAGTCGTATTGGTCAGTGTGATATATTGGAAACATAACGGTGGATATCTATAATTTTACCTTCTGTTGATAAATGTTGCGGGAAATGTGACTGGCTTATCAATCCCTGGAATTTGAGGCAAAAAAATATGTTAAAAAAATTGTTGGTTATTTCCGATAGTCATGTTGTGCCCCTGGGTGTGTGTGTGTGTGTGTGTGTGTGTGTGTGTGTGTGTGTGTGTGTGTGTTGGCGGTCAAACCTTTTATTATTTTTTGTTATTTTTCTGTCAATTTTCTTATTTCTTGTTTCAACATTGAGGGAGATAATTATTTTTTATTTTTTTTTTTGGATTCTGATCATCCACTGATTTGTTTTGTTTATTTGTAATCTCTCTTTTTATTCCTTTTTTCCTAATTCAGTTTTTACATTTCACTTTTTTTGTCTGTGCCTCTAGTTTTTAATCATCACATTTTATTTTATTTTAATGTTATTTTTTAAAAGTTGGGTTATTTTTTGTTCAAGGGGAGGAAGGGGAGGTGAGGAGGAGAGATATGGGGAGTGTTAGGGAGAAGGAAGGAAGGAGGGAAGGAAGGAAGGAAGGAAGGAAGGAAGGAGCCAGGGAGTAAAGGTTATTCATAATTTGACTTTATTATTTTTCTAAAGTTATTATTCAATGTATTTTATTGTTTGATATTATCTTTATTTTTTTCTACTACCACTAGTACTACTACTACTACGATTACCACAACTACTACTACTACTACCACTACCACTACTACTACTACTACTACTACTACCACTACTTCTACTAGTAATAATGAACGAGAGAATTTAATATTTAATAGAAAGAAATAAAGAAAGAAAATAAAATGAAAAATGAAAGAAGAATATAAATTAGAAGGAAAAGAGAGACAAAGGAGAACAGAGAGAGAGAGAGAGAGAGAGAGAGAGAGAGAGAGAGAGAGAGAGAAAATGTGCCAGTTCTGTGTGTGACTTTTTAAGGTAATTAAGGATGATGACCCTTGTAAGAGTTCTCATTACTGGGCATTTTTCTTCCTTTATTAATTCCGGAATAATTAATGACTAGGAAATGTATTCGGGGAGGGGAAATATTAGTTTATATTTTTTCCCTTTAATTGAAGAGGGAAAGAACTATCATTTGGAATATTTGTGACTCTCATGATGGCAACACTGTCAGTATATGGGTCCGTGTTAAGATAGATAGATAGATAGATAGACTTGATAATATTAACTTACATACGCGATAGATAAGGTTAATTTCAACATCCACTTGGACACATAAACTAAATCTGTGTATCTGGATGAATTTATTTAACTCGTGAATTAGAAATCTATTTATCGTTTTGTTTCATTAGGTAAATGTTGGTAAGTGATTATATCTCAATGAGTGAGTATCGTTGACATTATTTGCTCACATAAAGCCCTAATGATTAAATTGGTGTTGTTGTTGTGTAGTTTAAAGCGAACGATCATTATCTCGTAAGAGGTGGTTATAAAGTGTGGAAATAAAATATAATAGGACTTAAGCTCTGTTAAAATATCCTAAAAGAATAATAATAATAAAAAAAAACCGTAAATGAATGCGCTTCTGTACCTTCTATTTCCTTGAGGTAGAGCCGGCCAGGGGAGGCGCTCCACCACCGTCCATGAAGGCTTCTATTGTTCTCTCCAGGCTCGTGTGTTTACAGTGACGACACCCTCTAGCGGCGAGAGGCAGAAACATTTCATTTATGACACAAAGATTTCAGAATATTTCTCCTTCTACGTCAAACTGAAGTACATAAACATATTCACAGAGGCAAAACTTTCCCGCATTTTTTTTCATATATCTCATGAATACTTAATGAGGGACACAATAGTAAATTAGGAAAAGTTTTACGGATGGAAGCTGGAAGAACAAGTGACAGTCGCCGCGGGAGGGAGTTATTTACACAGTGATTAGCTCCGTAGGGGAGGAAAATCTGTCATTAAAAAAAGATAAGCTGTTTTCCTCCCCACTTTACCGATGTCAGATTTCTTGCTACATTTACTAAGTCTAATTTATGCCTTTCCTGACCTCACTGATGTATGTTTGTGTGTGTGAGTCAAGTTATATTTTTCGCTAATGCGGGTTAACGCAGCCAGCGACCAGGTCTTGTCCACCTTTGTTTGGGTTTTTCGCTTTTGTTAAGAATAGTTGATAATTTCTCTTTCCATAAAGGTTTTCACTTAAAGATTTTGTAAAATTTAAACATGACTTTCTAGTGTTTTAATGATATACATAAACTTTCATTCTACGGTTCCAATCTGTGTTCCTCCACCCGCTACACCCCAGTCCCCTAGTGTTCCTCCACCCGCTACACCCCAGTCCCCTAGTGTTCCTCCACCCGCTACACCCCAGTCCTCTTGTGTTCCTCCACCCACTACACCCCAGTCCTTGTGTTCCTCCACTACTACACCCCAGTCCCTTTGTGTTCCTCCACCCACTACACCCCAGTCCTTGTGTACACCCCAGTCCTTTGTGTTCCTCCACCCGCTACACCCCAGTCCCTTTGTGTTCCTCCACCCACTACACCCCAGTCCCTTTGTGTTCCTCCACCACTACACCCCAGTCCCTTTGTGTTCCTCCACCGCTACACCCCAGTCCCTTGTGTTCCTCCACCCACTACACCCCAGTCCCTTTGTGTTCCTCCACCCGCTACACCCCAGTCCCTTTGTGTTCCTCCCCACTACACCCCAGTCCCCTTGTGTTCCTCCACCCACTACACCCCAGTCCCTTTGTGTTCCTCCCACCACCCCAGTCCTTTGTGCACCCCAGTCCTTTGTGTTCCTCCACCCACTACACCCCAGTCCTTTGTGTTCTCACCCCAGTCCTTGTGTTCCTCCACCCACTACACCCCAGTCCCTTTGTGTTCCTCCACCCGCCACACCCCAGTCCCTTTGTGTCCTCTGTGTGATGTAGTTTTCATGTTTTCTCCTCGTGGATATCGTCTTCTCAGTGTATTTAGGCGGTTAATATCTTTACCTCGCGTGTGTGTGTGTGTGTGTGTGTGTGTGTGTGTGTGTGTGTGTGTGTGTGTGTGTGTTTTAGTTATGTTCGTGTCTATCCTTCCTCCTACAGGCAGTTCCTGATCTAATAAACCCCATTAACCCTCTTCTACCACCGTAACAAGGTGTGTCTTCCATCCCTTCTACAGGTAACTTGCTCTCCCATTAAGGACCTGGTGTCTTGTGTATCTCCTGCAGGTGGCGCTGGTGATCGACAGGTTCTTACTGGCGTGTTTCTTGTTGTCGACGGTGATCGCTACCACGACCATCCTCTTTTCCTCCCCCCACGGGCCTTGACGCTCCATCATCACCTACAGTAGCGACACACATGACATCTCCGGTACCATTTAGAGGTGAGTAAAAATAAACGAACAAACAAACACAACAAACACAAACAAACTCAACAAACACAAATAAACGACCGAAACTTCACACACACACATATATATAAAACCAAACAACTTGACACATTAAAATAGTCGCCCAAATAACATGAAATAAATTAAACAAGACTTTCTGTCCCTCGGGTGATAAGTTAGGTCCAGGAACAAAGTGATATAAACAGTTTGTGTTAGAGATATAAAATTAACACGTAGTGGTCTGAGGTCACATCCCTAACAGCTGTGTGTGTGACCTGAATTTAGTGTGACCTGTTGTTTTAGGGGTGATAAAATTATTATGTCGGTGTCAGTGAATCAATTACTCAATCAAGCAATCAAAACACCAAAGAATTATTAACACTAAATAATGAAAAAGAAAACAGATGAAAAAGCTAATTACTTTCATTTCCATTCATATGACTTTAATTATATATTTTACACATTCATTTCTCAAGTAAACATTTATTTTATTACAATTTAATGCATAATTTTCCATCCTCCTCTGAAATAAAATACAATATATATTTTTTATTATTATTTGAGTCGCTTTTAGACAATTTATAATATCAGGTGTGTTCAGGTGTCCGGCTGTAAATTAGACATATATATATATGCATTATACATACTATAAATGCTATCCCTGGAATGCATATTGATTCCACAATATGAGTTTATACGTTTGTCTTAAATTTAAAGAAATGTTTCCAAAAGTTTAAGAATTTTCATGTAATTTTTAGTCTAAATTACATTGATGCATTTTCTTTTGTTTAGTTTTTCTATGTTTGTTTAATGTCTATATTTACATTGTTTAATTTGTGTTGATGTTTGTCGAAAGTTTCATTCTATATTTTGGAGTGCGTTCAGATAGTTCTTATACTGAGTGCGTTCAGATAGTTCTTATACTGAGTGCGTTCGGATGCGCCTTCATACTGAGTGCGTTCAGAGTAGCCTACATACTGAGTGCGTTTAGATGGCGTTTTGTACTGGGCGCGTTGAAGCGGGCTCTCATAAATTCGGATGTTTTTACATGAGATAATACATCAGGGTGATATATAGCTGTCGTTTGAATGTATCCTTTACAATCCTGATATATGGAGTTTTGTTGTATTCTCCTGCTCGCTGTATCTATCCTGTATTTCATTGTATTCTGAATCTATGCTGTATTACCTGACCTTTTATATATACGTCATATAGGAAGTTTATATAGGAATTTATACAGCAAATTTATATAGTTATTTAATGTATATATAAAGAGATGTTATAGATTAATTTAAGGGATGTATTAGGTTAATTCTTATATAGAGTTTATTGAGTAAGTTAAGAAGTTTGATTATTATTTACCTTCTCTGTCCCACAGGTGTTGACGAGAACTCCAGTGTAGAGGTCGGGAAATGTTTATACCTCCATTCTCTAAAACTCCACTCCAGTCATACTCCAGTTATACTACTCCAGTTATACTCCTTCAGTCACACTCCAGTTGTACTCCTGCAGTCAACAGTCATGGTGCTCCACTGCTGCCAACATTACCAACAGTCAACAAATAATCCTCCTCCAGTACTGCCAACATTACCAACATCATAACAAGAAAACAGTCTATTGTTTTTACACTAAATGATCAATAACCTCAAGAAGCAAGAACCTTAACAATGGCCAAATGGATCGTACAGGACAACTCATTCAATTATTTACAACAGAACCAGAGATCCAGGAACAGCTTAGTGACCCACGGCACATCTCGTTAAGTGTGTAATCGACTATTTGATGATAGATAATGGCTCTGGAGAAGGGTAATGAGGGAGGGTATGAGAGAGTGAGGGAGGAGAGGAGGGTAGTAGAGAAGGAGAGAGAGTAAGGGTGGAAGGGAGAGACGGAGGGAGAGTTAGGAAGGGAGACTGAGAAGGAAGAGGTTGAAAGGGAGGGTGGCTACAAGAGGAGTGACGATGGGGGTTCCAATTTCTCCACATTTCTCACTGTGTAGTTATGAATGAAATGTATTTGTCTGTGTGAATTAATGATGTATTTTTATAATAAATTTCAAACGTGTGTGTTTCTGAGTTTTATTATTTCACCTTAAAACACTTAAACCTAACTTAAAACACGAATACCCACCTTAAAACAGACTAAACAACAAACAGATAAACATACAGGAAGAAACAAAACAAAAACACAGAAAGAAACAAACAGACAGTCACTCAAACAGAGATAAAAGACAGAGAGAGACAGAGAGAGACAGAGAGATAAAGCACAAGAAGTAGTACCTGGGTCAGACATACAGGAGTAACTGGACAATATCAGTAACAGGTGAGCCTAGCGAGTCGGCCAATCCCTCCCCCCCCCTCACAATTTCACGATACAATGCTTCTAGTGTGTGTGTGTATGTGTGTGTGTGTATGTGTGTGTGTATGTGTGTGTGAGGTTATGTATGTGTATGGTAATTGTATATATGTGTGTGTATGTTCGAGGTACTACTTAACTCGCCACGTGAGCCTGGGAAGATTATGTTGCCAAGTAGGTATTATTCTTTCATTTATACACGGAGTCTCCACCTTCCCTCCTCAGTAGTGTTCCAGGTGTTGTGATGGACGGATCGCGGTCTTGTGCATCAACCTCCTCAGTCCGTGTTTCTACCCCTGAAGTGCTAGTGTAGGAGGTGACTCTTGATGTTTAGTAAATTCGCTGATCATTTACAAGAAACAGAAATCATATTTATAGTGTAAATATTAATTACATAATATTAATAATGATCTGTACCTCATACCTACAAATCAGTGCTATAAACTTAATTGCCACACACACACGCCACTTCAAAGACCGAATTCTCGACCCATCCTTGGCCCCTGTAATGCCAATCTGAGGTAAGTACATTCATTTATTTACTGTTTATATCAACCATGACTAGTTTCTCAGATTACATTTTTTTTCGAATATATCTGCTTCGGGGCCGGGGAGGGGGGGTGACGTTAACTAAATCTAAAGTTAATAGCAATAAGTTAGTACTACATCACCTCATTAGTTGGTTTAATAGTCTCATTTTACTGTTATTATTACCTATGGACTGTTTATGTTATATATTGGTGTTGTTAAATGAAGTTTATGTTGGAGTATTGGTGTTTATTGATTTATAGGGAGGGGGGGGGACCTAAACTTTAAGCTATTTGGAAAGTTGTTTTGTATTGTATATGTATAGAAGTATATTATGTATAGGAAGAGATACGTAGCATAAGTTAAGTCATATCAACATTTTGTTATATAATTTTAGGTAGACGTAACAACATAATATCTCGTAACTACCATCAACCCGCAGACAGAAAAAGACGTACGCGTTAATCACCAAACTACCAAACAAGGCTAAAACAACCCTCACGACCATAATACTCGACTACCTACATTCAAATAATTCACCTTTCACCTCTCATGGGTCATTCATTACCTGGTCTAATTATCCGTAATTAACCTCGGAACAGTCAGGTGAGATCTAAGGGTTTACCTGTTTGTTACCTTGATAATTAGCGATTTGTTTTTCTTTATAAAATGGATTTCCTCCGAGACTTCAATATGCGTACTACTAAAGGTGTAAATTAAGGCGGAGGTGTGATAAGGTTATAAGTTGTGAGTGGGTGGGAGCGTGTTGTGAGTTGTGGGAGCGTGTTGTGAGTTGTGGGAGCGTGTTGTGAGTTGTGGGAGCGTGTTGTGAGTTGTGGGAGCGTGTTGTGAGTTGTGGGAGCGTGTTGTGAGTTGTGGGAGCGTGTTGTGAGTTGTAGGAGCGTGTTGTGAGTTGTGGGAGCGTGTTGTGAGTTGTGGGAGCGTGTTGTGAGTTGTAGGAGCATGTTCTGTGTTATAAGGATAAAATAATAAAAAATATTAAGAATAAAACAACTACTACTACTACAACCACTACTACTACTACTACTACAACCACTACTACTACTACTACTACTACAACCACTACTACTACTACTACTACTAAACAAATATCAACAAACAGAAACAAATAATTACACAAGACTCACAATATAAACACAATATTATCCTTTTAAACCCATAGCGCTGTATTCTCTCCCCACAAGTTAAAAGTGAATGAAAAAAATATATATATATATTCTACTGTCCCCTAAAAAAAAATTAATTCCCTTCATTTGAAAGTTACATCACATTAATGTATTTTGAATTAACTTTTATTCAATATTCCGCTGCGGTAAAAAAATATAATTTTTTTTTCCGAATTGAAAAAAAAAGGAAAAAAATAAGTCATATTCATTTCTGGTTTTGTGTTATTTTGCCTTGTGTCCCGAATTCTTTTATGTCAAGTCGGCAGAAATTTCCGTTTTTTGTGTTTTTTTCAACTTGACGGGTGGATGTATTTCGCGCGTGAGGGATGGGTAATTTTATTTCAGTATGGTTCAATGTTGTGTTTGTATTTCCCTTGTCTGTTTTTACGGCTTCTGAATGGCTGGAAGTTATCTTGGCAACGTTCAGAGTCACGGTACAGACACGAAGACATTATCAATCCAGTTTAAACCACTCGGAACTCTCAGAACATAGGAGTAACCGCTCAGAACACAACAGTAACCGATCAGAACACAACAGTAACCGATCAGAACAAGACTAAAACTCCCCAGTAATAGACAGTAATAGTGTAGAATAGAACAGTAGCCACTCAGAAACAACAATTACCACTCAGAATGCAAAAATAACCACAGAACGCTGCGGTAACCCCCAGAGAACTGTAATAACCCATCAAAACGCTGCAATAGTCACTCAGAAGCAACAATAGCCCCTCAGAGTGCTGCAATAACCACTCAAGCAACAATGACTCCTCAGAGCGCTGCAATAGCCACTCAGAAGTAACAAGAGCTCCTCAGAACTCTGCAATAGCCACTCAGAATCAATAATAACCCCTCAGAGCGCTGCAATAGCCACTCAGAATGCAGCCATAACCCCACAGGCCGCTGCAAATAACCAACCAGAACAGGCCATAGGCGCTCCAATACAAAGGTGACGTCTACGACCTAACTTAAGGTATAAACTAGAGTCGAGTGGAAAGGCGCCGCTGGAGAGATAAGGTAAATATTTACGTTCGTGCACAACCATAACAAATCCGTTCTTACTTGAATCCGGGTTCATGAAGATCTGAACGTTATATTTTTTTAAACTTCGTTATTGGTAATTTGAGAACGTTTCTAAATGGATCACTCACTTTAATGTACCAGAAAATGGCGTTAAAATTACACTGGTATTCTGTTTCAACTTAAGAGTTTTGGAAAACTTCTTCTTCGAGGCTATTAAATGAAACTGGTTTGTTGACGAGTGAGACAACGTGTACTTAACTCGTATGAAACACGTCCGGAACAGGAAATGGGAGACTGTAAATAAGGGTTGTGTTATACGTTCTTAGATATGGTAAGTAGGATTTAGTGAATATACTTTACTGGTCAAGTTGGTATGTATAACTGCCCGAACCTGTTATCAATGGTCAGAGTTAGTTAGTTAGTTTTTGTTTGTTTGTTAGACGTAAACTTTATAACCCAAAGCAATGCCAGAAGTGTTATTATTAGCTATGATCATTAAATTTTACCAAGATGTACCGAACATTATTAGATACGTTGTCAAAACTGATCAATAACGCTATTAAAATCTTTATGCAGTAACTACGCTATATCATAATTGACTGATACAAATAAATTAACACTTTATACTCATTGGACGTTGGCCTAATTAACCTAAACTACCTCGTTAGTAGTTACGAACGGCATGAACTTCACCTAGGAGGGAAAATTTGTTAAATTTAATTGAGCCCTGGAGCCTTAGCGTTTAATTAAAGGGAAATGTCAATACTTCTCAACATGGGGAAACATTTCACCTCTGAGGATCAAATTGGTTTTATATTTCTTAATTAATTTTGTTTGTTTTTACGTATACAATCAATTAAACATTTTTTATTTTTTTTTAATTCAATGCTAAAATACTTCAAATATTTATTCCAATATAAATTAGACTTGTTTGGCTGGATTGATCTGTTGGTAGAGTTACTATGTTGTTGACTGACTGATATGTGATGCTGAGGTACAGACCACACATGGACATATATACACACGAAAACACACCTCAGATATGTACAAAAACACATAAAAATGCGCCTGAAAAGTATATAAAAACGTAACACACACACACACACACACACACACACACACACACACACGAAAGACATTATTTATCATAAGTAGCACGAATGTACATAAAGAAACACGTAACACCTTATACAGCAATAATAAATGGGATAATGTCAACATCTGACAACAATTTTAAAGGGTATTTAGGTCAATCGTAGTATTAAATCACCCGAGTTTTACACATTTAAATTCCCTATAGTAAACAATAAAGGTGCACAGTTGCCAGATCGTGTAATTATTGTTTATGTTCTTGTATTGGGTTTTGCCTTTAATTGTTTCCTAAAAATATATAAATAAGCTATAGTTATACAAAAATATATTAAAAACTTATCTTTCAAATTTTAACTTGTTACAAAAGGAATAAAATAATTTAAGGTTTATATAAATTAAGGAAAATAGTGGTATTTGGCAACTTTATCTACTCGGACGCTCATTGGTTCAGCTGCTAGGAAATACTCAGTATATCTCAAACTTAATTTTTAGCTTTTGGATTATATTTTCTTACCAACTGATTATGTTAATGTTACTGATTAACTTTCTCAACTACTATACATTGTAAGATAAATATATTTTCGGCAATTTTTTGATTAAAATGAAATGAAGGAAATCGGTTGTGTATGGTGACCACTGGCAACAATTCCTTTTAGTTGCATTTACTAACTTACTCGTAAATACAAATCATTGTTCAAAATTACTATAACTATTTCTCTCTCTCAAAAAAAATTGCGATATTATTCTTCCTGAATAGATTTACGATGCCAACAAGCAAAATATTTTACGTTACTTTTGAAAAGAAAATATGAAATTATTACCAAGTACCACCAGATAAATATTTAGATATATATATGCACGTATTTACACATGAACAAATACAGCAATGAGCATTTAATTATGTTTTTATTAATATTATAATTATACTTATAGATATTATATGATAATTCCACTGGCACTGAATGATTTAATAAAGTTTTCTAACAAAATATCTCCCTTGGTGGACACGCCCTATTTGTGACGTCATAGTTAAAAAATTCATTGATAAATCAAAAGTTTAAATGTCCTTCATTCATCTCTGAGTGACCGACCATTCATAAAAACGTCTTGTTTTACGGGGATTAGCCCACCCGGACACAGGTCGCTGACCCACGAGGCCTGGGGGGCGAAAATGTAATAATAATAATAATAATAATAATAATAATAATAATAATAATAATAATAATAATAATAAATAATTGTCATAATAATTCATAATAAATAAAATTTACGATAAAACAAACATAAATAAAATAATAAAATAATGATAATAATACAGTAACTGTGATAATAATAATAATTTTAATAATAAAGAACTATATATACAAAAATGAAAAATGATCAAAAGTGAGAAACGATACACAAGTATGTATGTTGTGTTGTCAATGGTGAGAGTAACAATTGAGACCCTGCAATTGTGTGTAAATGAGGCAGAAAGTCAGATCAGCAACCTGGGACTTGGTCACAATTTTCGTGATGCCATATGGCAGCAGGGTCTACCATTAGACAACACATTATGCTTCCAATATCTTCCCAGGCGGTAGTACCTCCCTGTTTGGTAGCTGCCTACTAGTTTTTACCTATAGTATGACTGTGAATTAACTAAACCACAGCTAACTGAGACTTCAAAAGCATAAATTAGTATCTTGAGGTAAAATTAAGTTAGAATATATTATATTAGGTTAATTATTTTGCTATAAGTGAACTATGTGTCGTTTGTTATTACATGGAAACTACAAAAAGCTGAATAACAGACGAATGGTTGAGCTGCAGTGTGTTGACCATTTCACTACCAACATCCGCCACTTGGTGTGTTCACGGCCTAATGTCACTAAGCGGTGTTAAGTGAAACATGGGTTGTGTTACCCGTAGATTTAATTATGTAATACTCCTGTTATGATGTTTATATTACGCTTCAACAACGAAGGTCTTTAAGCACGTAGCAAGGTTAGTATTAGCACTGTTCTAACAACCTTTAAAAAACCCGTAATAAATAATTAAGTTGATAAAGAATAACATCTTCAGCCCTTAGTTTATATAGTCAAAATCTTTTATTCTATCATAAGAATTATTTAAGTTAACCCATCATAATTTTCTCTATTATTGTTAAAAGAGAAAACGATCCAGTCGGCCGTATCTTTTGAGGGTAAACTCCGCTAAACTAAACCTCTCAAATGCGTGTGGATTTTATATTTTGTTATGTTACCTGATGTGACATAGTAAGATTAAGACCGGTTTATAAATAACTCCAGCATTTGTTGGCTCCTGATGACCTCCTGTTTGGCACTATCCTGTCTTCTGCAAGCTTATCTCTGTCTGTCTGTCTATTAGTCTGTCTCTCTCTGTCTCTGCGTATCTGTCTCTCCGTATGACTGTCTTTATAAATTGCATAGATCATCCTGCTTTATCTTGGGCTAAATGACTTCAATAACACGTAAGCAATGTGTGTAGGCTTGTATGGTATATGTGTATATACCTAATTGAAATTTTTAACCTTAAATCCAGGTTAGGTAAATTAACTTAAATAAATGTAAAATAAATAAATACAATAAAAATGAAGGAAATTAAATAACTCAAATGCTTATTACACATTTATTGGTCTATCTAAATATTTATCCTGTTTATTTTATGATTTGCTTAATTTTCTTGTATGATTTATTTATAATACGACATGGTTATATAAAATTTAGTATCTACAGGGCTGTACAGTACATAAATCAGGAGTTGTTTATTATTTTAAAAATAGATGTGTGTGTGTGTGTGTGTGTGTGTGTGTTTATTTGGTTACAATGTACGTGAAGGAAGTGGGTTAGGTCAAGCAATGCATGGGTGGAAAGAGAGAGAGTATCCGGGAGTATCCGGTCATCATATCTAAGACATCTTCATCTCTACCAGGAAGACAAGACCGGAGACGCACCAACCGAAGACGACAACGAAGAAGACTCCCTGTAGGTGTATCACGGTCAGGGGGGTGAGGTCGTTCTCCCCTCCCTCACTACCGGGGCCCTGGGCTACTCCTCCTGTGACGCCCTCTTCCCCTGCTGCCTTGCCGTACTCCTGTGGACGACCGTGAAGGTGATTTGAGTTACATTTGGTTTGGTTAGGTTAGGTTAGCTTAGGTTATCTTTGCTTGCCTCAGTAGATGTACCGTCATGGGAAAAACAGTCCTGTGAGTCCCATAACCTGAGACTCGTGAACCTGTGAATCCGAGACATCACACATCGTTCGACCCAAAATGGCGCACTGGGTCATAATTATGATGTCTCGGATTCGCAGGTTCATTAGTCTTAGGGTTCATAGATGGGAGGGAGGATTGACAGTAGACTCACCTCTGTAGAAGCCGCTAGCCTGAGGGAGTTAAGGAAGAGTTGTCTCATCAGTCCAGCCTGTTGCAGCCAGCCGATTACCTTGTCGAACTTCCTCTTGAACGGTGAGTGACGTTGGACGGCCATGGCGATGCTGTAGGGCGCAAAACACTCCTGCCAAAAAAAACACACAAAGATTTTAACTCATTGGTGGATTATCTCTCCATGACAAAGTTACCAAAGTTCAAAGTGGTTTTTGTTTGAGTACATCATTGGCACATAAGATGGAAATATACTTTTAGATTTGGAGTTTAGATGAGATGGGGGGGGGAGGAGGAGGGGGAAGAGTTAAGTAAAGTTTGGAAAGCTGTAAGTTATAAGTTGATTGGAGGTTAAGTTAGGTTAAGGGTGGTTGGTCGGTGTTGTTAGCTGAGATCCTGTTAGGTGTTTGCCGCCGTTTATTACCTTCATTATCCTGATGGTAGACTCGCCCCTCCTGGTGAAGCGCGACAGCCTCACAAACTCTATAAAGGCTCGGTTCTGGAGGAAGACTGAGCGCCCCTCCAGCACCCTTGGGAAAATGGTCTCAACACTCTGGTGCGCCCGGTATGTCTTCGTCAAGCTCTGCGGGGTTGGTGAGAGGCGGGAGAGGGAGGAAGAGAAGTTATTATTGTGTGATATTACAATTTAAGGTGATTCATAGCTGGAGAAAATGGTCTTATGCTTTAACTACCTGGTGGATACAGCAGATAATACCATCCCTTCGGTACACAAGGAGGCACTATGGCCGACACTGTACTCGACCATCTTCACTGACTCAACTGTAAAGGTCAGGTACTCATATACAACTGGGGACCATTAGGGCAGTAAGCGAGCACTCTATCCACTCAGCCCCTCGGTGTAGAGAGGAAAAAGATTAATGGCTGCTTACGGACAGAGAATGATGAATGTTTACAACTATAAGAGAAGACTACAGTGTTCAGAAGCGTGATGGGGGAGGGCGGGCGGGGGAGGAGGAGAACCAAAGGACCTTGCCCTCTCACCTGTAGATCTTGGTCAATAGCAGAGGCGAGAGCATACTTGTAGAACTCCCCTAGACCAGCCACCTCTACCCCTGACTGTCGCAGCTCGCTGATGGTGTTGATAGAAGTCGGGGCCTTGGCCACGATCAGATAAGCGGTAAGGTTGGTGGAGTAGCCGAGAGTGAGGATGATAGTGTATATCCACAGGAAGGTCACCAGGACTTGGGTGGAGCGGGCGATGGGTAACTGATCCTGAGCTACTTTCATGTGCACCCCGAAGCTGTACAACCACGAGTAACCAAATTCCTGTAGATCTGACGACTCCCCTCCACCCCTGTCGTAGGAACCATCGTATGGCAGGTGTGTTAATTAACGAAAAACACGTAATCGAATGAGTAAATTCAGTTGTTTTGAGGAGCACAGCGACATAAAACTAGACACACACATATATACAGGTAAACATACGTGAGGGCGAGTTAAGATAGCGTGCGGGGCTCACCAGATATCAGAGGCTCGAGCTAGAAGGTAGAGCACAGGACCAGCGACGAGGAATCCCACCAGTATAGAGATCCAGGTTAGGGCGGTGAAGGGGTAGGTCAAGGCGTGCCACTGGGGAAGAGGCTGCTCCCTCCACGCCATGAAGCAACTCATCTAGGTGTTCGTCAGGTGGGTCATGGTGTTTCAATATACAGGTACATACACACATGCATATACAGTTATACATATCCCCACACTCGTATACACAAGCATACATATACCGTATATACATATCTATTCATAAATATTCATAAACATTCTTATAAACACAAATATAATTAAAGACGTCTTGGGTATTGTTTACTCTCTCTCTCTCTCTCTCTCTCTCTCTCTCTCTCACCCTGGAGTCGTAAGGTGTGGTGAAATCAACGACGGAGGTTCGATGAGAGGAGACATAGATGCTGGCCACGCCCACGTCAGCCTCGCCACGATCCAAGAGGCCCATCATACCACTCCAGGAACCGTCAGCTCGCCTATCACCCCACAACTCTCCTGTATGTGACGAAGGTGTGTGTGAAAAAAAAAATGTTCTACAGAAAAGTGGAACTAGTTAAAATACACGAGTTTCCGTTAAGAATTTCGAGTTTTCGTTTTCTATCATCAGAATCTGCCATTAGTTCCCATTTCATTGTGTGGCATTTTTACTTTTCTATGCGTTCCGTTTAGCCAATCAGCATCTAGCGTATGGTCACGTGACTATACGCGGCCAATTAACGGTCACTGAGTCCCCACGGTGTCCTCAGTAGACGGAATGAGATTGGTTGATCTTTGTGTTATATTTGTGGATTATAACAGAGATGAGTTACACAGTGAGTGAAGAGGGTCTGCTGTTACGTACTAGGAAGCCTGTGTGTAGTGTTGTGAAGGTAAAAGGCAAAACGAGGGAGGAGGCTTTTTATACTAGCTCTAATCTTGATTAGGTTAGGTTAGGTTTACACTGAACTTCAGGTATGAGAGACAGAAAGTATGAGTTGGGCAGTTAAGGTCTCTCTCTCTCTCTCTCTCTCTCTCTCTCTCTCTCTCCTCACCCTCCGCTGGTTCTATGTACTGGACCGAGACGTTGTAGAAGGTAGCCAGGATGTTAATGAGGTCAATATCCACACCGTACCTGTATTGGAGGTCACCTGTGCTGTTCCTGTTGTAGAATACGTTCGGCTCCCATTTGAAAGTAGCGACCTAAGGGAAGAGGGCAACACAGGTCAATTAGTATGGTAAGGTCATGTCAGGTCAGGTAATATGGCAGAGTGATGTCAAGTAGTATGGTAAGGTCATGTCAGGTCAGGTAATATGGTAGGGTGATGTGAGGGTTGGTTAGATCAGGTGATATGGTAGGTTGAGGTGTAGGTCAGGTCATATTATATAGTAGGCTTAGGTCAGATCAGATAAGGATAGATAATGCCATGTTTTTTAATAACAGTTGTTTTAGCAATAATCTAATGGCATTTTTTTTCGAGAATTCTATAACTTTCTATCTCCCTCACTTACATGGGTTAAACTCACTTTAATCTGGACGCCTTGTAGGTCATCCAAGTGGCGGGGGAAGAGTGGCAGGTGAGAGGTGAAGGTATGACCCCTCCAGGTAGTAATGACCCTCACCTCTACACCTTTGTACACCCTCCACTCACCTCCCTCACCTGTCTGTGGAAGAAGGAGATACTAAATAATGTTGCGTAGGTTAGGTTAGGTTAGATTATATTATATTATAGTTTAATTACCGACGCCTTGTTTATATCATCCCTTAAAAAAATAACTTCATTATACCTGCTCACTACACAATAAACACAGCTTAATTATAGGTCTTACATCCATATTCAGGTGTGTGATGCAGTACCAATAACTCACCTGCAGAAGGCCCACCAGGTGTTCCGTCCTTCTACCTTTCTCGGAGGACAAGAGCGTCTCCAGGTGGTGCACGGAATTAGCCACGACAATGTACCTGTAGAAGACGACCAGGTGAATGATAAGGTGTGGAGATTTTGTATCTCTCTCTCTCTCTCTCTCTCTCTCTCTCAGAAGGTGGTAGTGTAGGTGGTGTAACTGTACCTCCCGTGGTAGTCCCAGGCGTCGCGGTAAGTGTTGGTGAAGTTTGCCAGGTGTTCGGAGTGACTGATTATCAACAAATAACCTCGACACCTGTTCGACGACCACGACACCTGTAGTAGGTCACCTGGCCCCCTCACTCGCCACACCTGCGGGTAATTAAATTCTAAATGCTCTTAACTGTCATTTAAAGTTGGTGATAGATAGATAGATGGATGGCTAGATAGATAGATAGATAATTATTTATGTTATAGTAAAATATATATTGTCATTAACTCTGCTAATTTGGTGATATAAACCAACCTGTTTGACGTTTCCGAGAGTCAGTATGTAGTGTAGTAGAGGGTGATAGTGGTGATCGTAGGCCAGCACCAGGTCACAGTGGGTCATCTCTTGCACCACCACAGTCTTCAACAGCCTGCCCAGGGAGTCAAGGGAGTCCTCAGTTTGATTCAGATCCCAAGGGCAGACTCTCCTCACTGTCCTCGTAAGGGTACACAGGACGACGGGGTGGATGACTGAATCTTGTAGTTGGGTGATGTCTGAGGCTTTCTTTGATGTTGTTATAGTCCTTTTGGTTAGAACTTCTCTCTTAACTTGAGTTTTTATAAAGGAAATGTTTCCCTGATGCAAATTATTTAGATCGGGGTTATCCACGAGTCTTTCAAAGCCTTCAGTACCGCCTACAAGGGCACATGTCTTTTGGATACTCAGATTTAAGACGTTTGAGGCAATTAGGAAGATCGTAGCTAATGTAATCAAATACCTGGCCATCGTCACTGTGTACCTGGAAAGAGTAGATTGTGGTATTATATACAGACCCGCTTGTGTCTGAGTGTGTAATGCCGGGAGCTTCAGTAATCTCTCTATTGATTTATCTCGATACTTTAAAAATCATAATATCCGGATATTTACTTTAGTCGCAGCTGTAGTACGGACCGGTGTGTTTGTTTACCGAAGACAGTGTTTATTACTTACTGTAGTTCTGTCAGATGTCGGTCAGTATACGCGTCTCGGAGTGCTGTCTTCTGCCCCAAGGACACACGTACACAAAGATCACGATCACTGCACTGAGTTTTATTGCCTTGTTGGATGTACACACACACACACACACACACATATATACAGCTCTAAATGTCAGTCATCATAAGTCATTGATTCAAAGACTTCAACAAACTTCACAGCAGAAGTTTGTGTGGACGAACTTTTGAGACTGACCCACACGTTAGACTTAAAAATAATATATATGCAACTAAAACGAAGATTTGTACAACCTAACCTAACCTAACCTAACCTAACCTAACCTAATCTAATTGAAGCTCAAAGAAAACATTATCCAAGTTAACTTCTCCTCCTATGATTCATGTTTAAACACACACACACACACACACACACACACACACCTTATACCTCGAAACATTACCTGGAATTAATTAACCATTAATTTATACTAAACCACCAGGACGACTCCCCCAAATACTTGAGTTACCAACAGCACTCGTGGGATTGGTTCATATATTATGCTCTCTCGGGTAAACATGATTCCTGTGCCGCTCAAATTACAATGAATAAGAGAGGTATAATCTTTACGGCAATTAGAGTTTAGAAAGGTCGACCAAGTTGCTTATCTTGTTGTTGGAGGTACTTAAGAATACGTTAGAAGGTCAGGTCAAAGGACAAGTTGGTAAATAATAAAAATGACTATGTGTATTATCAAGTGAGGTCATGTATGTGTGTATGTGTGTATGTACGAATCATAATTATTTACCATAGGTGCTATAAAGGACAGAGGGTGCTGTCATATTTTAGATAGAAAGATAGATCATCGTACAAGTATACAGTGATTCAATATGTAGATAGATAGTGCAGCTTACAATACAAATAATGTGCATAGTTAGTATAGGTAGGCAGACAATGGCAAAAAGTAAGTCTATGGATATTATTAACATGCTTTAAGGCTCAAATAACCTCAGTTAAAGCCTCACTAACCCTTTCGCCATTGCTCTGTGGCTGATTAATCTCCTTAAGTTTGAGTTTAAACCGTCCATTAACTTGTTTTGTTAAATTTTGTCCATAAGAAACAATGGATGGATCCTATACAAGTCGCTGGCATCTTTCCCAGAGTGTACGTAATAGGTGTCTATCCTACGTATAAAGTAAAATAGTAAATGAAATAGTTACCCCCAACAAATGTTCGTTTTCTCTCATTAGTATAAAAGAGAGAATAGTTAACGGGTAACTTATACAATATATGAACTAATACCACTGTTGTACATACAAAATTACTGTATATATAATCTAACACTTCATATCATAACTTAAGGGATATAAGTAAAAATCGTATATAACATATCTATGTTTTCATTTCATAATTACAGAGATGATTTATCTAGAAAAAGGTGACACAAATATCGGAAAATGTGTGTTGAAATGCTGACTGGACACCTACACTCATATATTGAAGTAGAGCAATAATAATAATAATGATAATAAAAATAATGATAATAATAATAATGATAATAATAATAATGATAATAATAATAATAATAATAATAATAATAATAATAATAATAATAATAATAATAATAATAATAACAATAACAATCATAATCATAATCATACGTTCAACTAAGGTCTTTAAGCACGTTACACGGTGAGTAAAACACCAGCCCACCAACATAATAAGTGGCGAAGAAAATGAAGTAAGTAGTAAAGCAAGAGTGGCTGTCCTTGCTTGGGTTAATATACTATACTGTATTTGTTTATGCTTCCAATTTTTTACATGTAGCTTATGCTTACAGAATGTGGTCTAGTTACTACAGCAGGATACATTACTAGGAATTTGAAGGTTACTGTATTGGCTTATCTTGTTAACCTAATGGCTGCCCACAAAACTTTTATCCTCTTCACCGCTGAACGGCGCGTTAGCCGCTTGGGCGATCGGTCACGTCTCTGTTACGCACTGTTGGCAAGTACTGGACATGCACTGGCTCCTGAATGTACCTGAACCCGCTCCAGTGTTGGTCAAGTCTGGTCTTGAAAGAACTCACACTCGGTGTCGTCAAAGTTCATTTGATTTAGTGGGCCACAGTTTGGGGATCTGTAGATACACCCGACAGTAAGTAAGCTCCCGCCTTTTAATTTAATTTTACACCACTTGGACTCTTCAAAAACATCCTCTCCCTGTACCCTCGCCTGGCTGGCTTTATGGTCTTGCCTAGCATAGATAACCACACCCCTCTTGCAGGTTTCTTGAGAAAGGTTCGTAAATGAGTCATATCCAGCAATATTGAACTCGCATTCCTCTGGGTCGATTCTCCTGTTCTTGGACAACAGTTCTACAACTCCTACAATATCTGGTTGGTGTACTCTTAGTAGTGTTTCAAACTCCTCTCTCTTATCAAGGAACGTGTCATTATTAGTGTACATGACATTCAAGCCAGAATTTGTTCTCGGTAACGTCTCTGCTCTTAGTAGTAACTCTGGCCCCTCTCCATTCTAAGCTAATGGTGTGTTAGGGTTGTGTCATGGGTTAGTTATTGTCTGTCGGTACAGGCACTAGACATCCTACCCTGTCCCATATATGGGTGTTTTAAGGGCCTTATTTCATATTCCGCCGACCCTACTGGCGGATGCTGGTCTAGGGGTTGTCTATTGCCTAGCTGTGTAGATCGGGGGTGGTAATGGACCTTTTGAGATTTGGTAACTTTTTGGGAACCATGTATGGTTGTTGTCGTTATCTGGTGGGAGTCTTTGAAGGAGTTCTTGCTCTGATCGTTTTATCTTTAGCCAGATTCTGCTGGCCAGGGTGTGCAGGTGCTGGTTGATGGGTTTTATTCTCAGGTCTCTACGTATATCGGCTGTGGTTCTGGTGAAGGGGTATCTTTCACCAGTGACGAATCTTAGGGCTTCATTTTGGACCACCTGTAATTTTAATATTTGAATGGTACTCATAGTATGAAAAGGTACTGTTGGGTAAGTTAATATCTGTGTGATAAATGATGTCACCAGGCGGAGTTTTATTTTCTCAGGAAGCGCTTTAAAGCGGTGTATTTTTCTCAGCTCTCTTCTTGCCTTTTCCTTCCTGGTGTGGACATGATGGGAGTAACCTGTCGTGGATATATGCTGGCCAAGGAGGGTGCCTCTGCTTTTGTATTCTATCTGGGCATTATGGGTTACTAGTGGATGGATTTTCCTTCTGCATAAGGGCATCACTGTGAATTTCGGGAGACTGGTTTGGATTTTACAATGTTTTTCGTAATTATTTACCCTTTCTAATTCCCGCCTGGTGTTGTCGACCTGTAACGCTCGCGATTTTCCTTGATGTGTTGCTATTTGAGTGATGTCATCTGCATACATAATATGTTCGTTACCTATTCTAGTGGAAGGCGGGGTGTCACTTGTGCTGATAATATATAGGGTGGGGGAGAGGACGCTTCCCTGAGGGACTCCGCTCATGAGTGGGAAGGTCTCTCCTGTGTGTTGTCCTACCCTCAGTCTGGCATTTCTGCCGTCAAGAAAGTTGCAAAGCAGCTTTTCAATGTTGGTGGGAAGTCCGGGTTGGAGGATCTTATATTTTAGACCATCGTGCCAGACTTTGTCAAATGCCTTCGCTACATCCCGGAGAGTTAGATTACATCGTCTACCAATCGCCGCGGCTCTGGCGATGTTTTCACATGCCAGGGCTATCGCTGTTGTGGTGGACTTCCCTTTCTTGAGCCCGAATTGTCTGCAGTTGACTCTGTTTGTTGTTTCCAGGTGATTTCTCAGACGGTTATTGATGATTTTTTCTAGGATTTTTCCAGGTAGTTTAGGGGGGGCGGCGGGGTTCTTTCATTGTTTTGGTGTTAGGGTAATAATGGCCTCTTTGAATTTAGTTGGGAAGTAACCCGAGGCCAGGCAAGCGTTCATTGTGGTTCTCAGTCTCTCCATGGCCGGACGGAGCTGGTGCCACCTCCCGGGTGGGGGTTAGAGCGGATGGAGGGTGCGCTGCTGCCCCCCGGCTCTGTGTCGTCACACTTGCTTCCACTACCCCCCCCCCTGAAAATAACCCATGTACACCTGTCCTCGCTTCTCCTCGACTCCTCCCTCCTCTGCTTCAAGCCCTGCAGGTGCTTCTTGTGCTGTTCCCTCTGCATTACCGTGCGGTCTGGTTGAATGAATACACTCCGAGATGCCTCGCTCCTTGCTAAGTTTCTTGCCTGCCGAATAACCTCCCATTTCTCCTCCTCACTCACTAGTGTGGTCTTGAGGGGGCGAGGCTTGTCCCCCTGTTTTTGTCCCTGCTTTGGCATCTTAAGAACCTCTGTACAAATATTCTTAAACTGCATCTTATCGTGTGTTATCCTACTCTCAGTTCCCTCCGCCTGACTCTCAGGGACTCCTTAAACTATTACATTGTTCCTGCGGTGGAAACGTTCCCTGTAGAACCTGTTGTGATCCTGCATTACTCTCCGCCACCTCCCGTGGCCCTGTTAAGGCCTGAGCATAACTCCTCTTCCCAACCATCTCCATTCTATCGACTACTTCCTCGGTCTTAGCAAGGATCTCTTTCCCAACTTGTTCAAGTTTGGCAACCAGCAAGGCTCCAGCTTCATCTATTTTCGTCCCTAGGGAACTCGTTCCCCTATGGCTTGTAATCGCCTCTTTCATCTTGACTATGCAGTCAGGGCAATACCAGCAACAGCCTTCATGCTTTACGGCAACTTGTATCGTCCTAAGCACTGTATTAGTCAGGCCTCAACCATCTACATCCGTCGTCACCCTGCAGTAATCACATGTCATACCTTTCATGGTTGTTGCTGACGGGGGGGGGGCGTGCAGACTGTGTACAGATCTTCACCAATTTAAAAAGACTGAACGAATAAAGACCAGTTTTTAGCTGTCCTCTGCTCGTCTTAACCTCCCCCATCCACCCAGTGTTGCCCTCCAAGGCAGTTTGAGCTATTTTCTGATTTTCCTTTCTGTTTCATTCTTTTTTTCCAATTCTCCCCTACGAGTTGTTGGTGTCCATGTGCTATCTCTATGTTCACTGCATTTTGCTATGAATAACGGATTATATACACCCACTCAGTCCTTTAGAAACACATAAAAATAAAACTTTCTTTGGGCGGTAATAGAAGACATTTTAGGATGGCCAAGCTTGTTGATTTTATTTATTTTTACTATTATTTCCTTATACTTTCTTTTCCTGTTCTCATCAACGACTATATCTCTTTTGTGCATCTCCCTGTGAATGGTGTATTGTAGGCACAGTTTCAGTCCTTGAGAGAGCATTTTAAAGTCTCTGTGACACCTATGACACGACTTGGTTTCTGCTGATAGTGATGCCTTACCAGTTTGCTTACCAGTTTGTTCTTTACTTTAGGTTATTTACAACCTCTTCCGCGGTCACTGATGACACTATGAACTGATTTAACTCAAGTCACAGTACTATACTCCCTGGTTGGCCTTTGGGTGGTCGATCACATCCTTGACCACAACTCCTCTTGATCTTAGGGCTGTACCTCAAACTCGGTAGAGGCTTTCAAGATCTCGGCACGATAACACAGTGTAGCTGCCTTGACATATGACATTTTGGTGGCAACACATTGATGCCAGCCAAGCTTCCTGTCGTCCCCAAAATTATGTAAAATTTAGCCCAAGTTTAGACAATTATGGTAATTTGCTCATTTCAATTTATATTATTTCATTATTCCGTGATTATAATGTAGTACACATATAAGACCTTCGTGATAAAGGTACGTTAGTGAGTGGTTTAATATTAGAATAAAATATAATGTGGGCACAGAGCCTACTATCATGTTATATTCTGAGATATCCGCTCTCAGCTGTTGGTGTCTCTCACCCAGTACAGTTTAAAGCCTAGGAGTGAACAGTCTCTTAATATCATACTAATATTACAACAGAAAAAGACAGACAAAGAATAAGAAAACTGATACAAGAGAAAAGTGGTTTTTACGGTGTGAAGGAGAGTGTATTTGGCTGTGTTTAAAGACCCTCTCTCTGAAGGCGGTCCGACTAATTACCCAAATGTAGCCAAATTAAGTTTACCAATTTTTTGTGACTTTGTGACACCAAATACTAGTCGAGAAGTGATTGGCAGTCCGATTTATTCATGTAGGACCATTATTTGACTTCATTGCGACTACATTTGGGTAATTCCTCGCTCCGTCGGTACATGCACGCGATGTATTAACTCAGATTAAAGTAAGTTTTCCAATTTTTGGTGACTTTCTGGCACCAAATACTAGTCGAGAAGTGATTGGCAGTCCGATTTATTCATCTAGGACCACTATTTGACTTCATTTGGCTACATTCGGGTTCATTTGGGTAATGAGTCGGACCCCTCATTAGGTATTAAAGACCCACCAGTTTCTTCAGCTACTCTCGGGTTAAATGGCCTATACTTTTTGAATGCCTAACTATAATCAAGTTTAACCAATATAAACATTTATCATAACATACTAATGGACGCTCCCAGAAGGTAAATAAAACACATTATTTTATATTATTTTGTTATTTTAATCAGAACAAGTTGACTATATATGCAAGAGTATAATATAACAAGAAGGGAAAATATAACATAAAGTATATAATGATAATATTAAAAACTTAATTACTTGTGTATTGTAAAAAAAAAATCTTCAGTAATTCCAAAATCCTAATTCAATTCCGCCGATTAAGTGAGTAATTACCTTTAAACTCTGCGGTAATTACTCATTCAGCTTGTTTGATAGTGATTATAGAAAATATTTATTTGGTATATGATTATATAAGAAAATTACTAAAGTTAAGGATTATTATATAAAGATACAGGAACAGCTAGTTGGATACTGTGCTTTGCTGAATAATTGAGTAAATGTGTAAAAGCTAAAACGCAGGTAACTGTATCAAGTCCAATAATAACTAAAATTTAATGTGAAAATATGGAATAAAACTAGTGATTATTTCTACCACATCACTGAGTTTTGTTTGGTAGTATCCTGAGCGGTTCAGTGAGACTGTTTGTATAATATTCTCGTACATCTTAAATTTCCTTCTTCGGTTGTTTACATGACCTCATTCCCTAGTAGCAGTGTTCGTAAGCACTAGCAACGATGATAATAAACAAATAGGCACGATTAAGCCTATTAAGTCACCAGGTCCCGATAAGATATTTGCCAGGGTATTAAAGGACTATAAGGAAGATCTTAGTATGCCCTTACCACTCAGGGTTAAACAAAGGTGATATAACAAAGGTACTCCAACTATCCAACCTGAAGCGAACTCGTAACAATGGTTTTAAATTAGACAATTTTAGATTTAGGCACGAAATAGGTAAACATTAGTTTTGAAATATAGTGAATGAGTGGAACAAGTTACCAAATATCATCATTAACTCAGAACGCTGGATAGCTTCAAACATAGGTTGGATGGATATATGAGCGATAGGGGTTGGGTGTAAATGGGACTACCTGGTACGCGCTGCAGATTCCTCCATTCTCACGTTCATATGTCCCCGTACCTTTGTTTGTATTTCGCCAGTTTAATATCTTTTTCTAGATTTTCTGCTTTAATCTTCTCTCGATATTTTTTGGATTTCATAGCGTTTGCTTTTTTCTTTTCATCTATAGGATTATCCAATTTGTTTGGAATTGTCCCCCGACTTGTCCTATTTCTCTTAGTGGGTCTTTTACTTCTCGGTTTTGCTGGGCAACTCTGGTTCATGTGGTCATTTCCCGGTTCTACTGGGGAACACTCCTTCACATCTTCGTTGTTCATCTCTACACTAGATACCCACTGTGTGGTATCTACTGATGCTACGGCCTCAACCATCTGTCTGAAGGGGTCCCCGCCTTTATATCCAAGAAGTTCGTCGAGGCTGATACAATTAAAGTCATCCATACAGTCTGGACTGTTTGGTAGATAGTCATTCATGATGGAAACAAAAGGGTAATCCTGCAGACTTTTAACAAAATATGTGGCACTTTTGATTGAAGAGTGTCTTATGGTGTTGATGAACTATACAAACCTTTCTTGTACTATTAACCACGCGAAGATCACTTGGGAGGCATCAACCTAGGAACCCACTTGTGCTTCTCGTGTCAACATTGGTTCTAGGGAAAAATATATATAAATGGAGGTAAGGAACAAGTGGAGAGAAAATAATTTTTTTTTATCGTCCATAGTTACTAAAGACTAAAATTGTTTATTCCAGTAAAAAAAATCGTCTTGTGAAATATTGTTCTAATAAGTATATATCAACTTACGTAAGCCAGCAGAGGAGACGGAGGTGTAACACAGGAGACGTTACTCGTTGTACTGCTAGTCTGAGAAGATAGATGGCAGGATGATATAAGATCGTGAAAAAGTTTACTACACTATCTAGCTCACGTAACCAAAATGATTTTGTCTGACATACTCATTCACGTCACATGTACAGTAATTCATGTTTTAAGTTTAAGCACATTAATTGTTAATACAGTTAGTTAAAACATACTCCCATAATAATGTAATTAATTCAGCATTTGACAACTTCTCAAACTCACAATTAAATTCACCATAAACTGAACTCTCCCGAGAACGAATGTTTTTGTTTTAATCTTTCTGGTATTACATGAGCTCATGATGACTGAACTGACTCGTCCCTGTCTAAAGAAAGAGGACAAATCATACAATAAAGTTCAATTTGTTGCTTTCTGTAATTTGGTGAAACCGCTGTCAGTAATTTCCTGTTATTACGGTTTCACTACTGGACTTCACGAAGATACTAAAATATTTTCATTATTTTTATAGGATCTTACTGAATGGTTTTAAACAATTTATTGAGTCTACTGTACAGTATCATATCTGCAAGTTGACATAAGTGTTACTTGTCGTCTCCTCCGAGTGAGTTGACCTTCAGTCTGTGCAACACATTTGTCTTCCAGAGAATTGATTTGAAGAAATAAGTTTGTTTTTGTCACTTGTGAACGATAAACAATGATTTAATTGTTTCACTTTATTACATGTTATATATTTTTTTTATTCAGTTAATAAACCGAGTAAAGCAAAACAAGAACAAAATTATCAAAGTTTCTTCACAGTTGATTGAGACTTTGAGACACTGATGAGGCCAGAGTGTGTTGCACCACGGGTCATGTGTTCATTACATTGGAAGAATAAAGGTTTCTTATGTGTAGAGATTAATAAAGGTTGAAAAAAAATACATGGATTCTAGATTAGCGAATCGGCTATTTCGTAAAATTAAAGAAAGAGATACAATCGAAGTGTTCTCTGAGTAATGAGACAGGTTCGTTCAGAATCGTTCAATCCCATGAAGCTTCGACATCTGCTTTGAGATTTTTATGAATGAGTGTCCTGCGCCGCGACAGTCACTTTAGTTGCCACTGTTGTTGTGTTAAGAAGTATCACTACGAGGTATTGTGCCATCGGTAGTGAAGGTATATAGTAAGTGGTGATCAAGACGGGTTGTATTTGTTGAGGTTAATGTACAGTGGTGTTGGCTGGAGTTGACTCAGCCTCAACTACTAACAGTATATAACATTACTTTATTCCCCTTCACAACAAACTCTTACCAATCACTCTACGAAAAACACAAATAACACTTCGCAAGGCCTCATTTGACAGAATATAATAGACATATTGTTATAATTAAATGACAAGTAAGCATATTATCTGCCAATGTGTTTGCAAACGGCGTCTCGGTCCACCAGCTGCCAGTGAAAACTTAAGACAGAACTATAGAGACGCTTCCTTACAACAGATACAACAATAAATACCATTTAAACAGTAATTACTTAGGATTGATACAACAAGTGAGTATCTAAATCATTTTAACTTTAGTGAAACTGTAATCTTTAACTCCATTATGATTACACTCTCAGCTGGTGGAATATAAACACAATTGTGTATCAGATAAGAATTATTTAACACTTGTGTATAGTTTTTTTAGCATCGAACCAAGGAAACTTAACCTAATCAAAAGGGTTCACTATAAATTTGTTAGGTGGCCCAGGTCAGGCATAGTTGGTTCATTCATCGTCATTAACAGTTTAATCAGATGTAACACAAATACGATACCTTAATATTACATAGTAAAACTCGGCTCACCTTAAGTATAATAAAGCTTTATAACCTTGAATGATAAATGATTGCACAAGACTATAAGAGTAAAGGGACATGAGTATCATCACTCGTTTTAAAGTGAATGTAATAGAAAGTTAACTCTATTTAAATGAATATGAATCACAGCATCGGAAACTAGTCAGTGTGGGTCTGTGATTGATTTACTCTATGGGGTTCTGACTGTTACGACTCCTTATACTTCACCACTGTGTCAAGTTATATCGGGCAGCTATACTGATTATTGTTGAGGGATGGAAGTATCCACTATTTCTTGTGTTAATGTTTATAGAATTTTTGTTTAAATATGAATAAAGTTGTAAATAAATAGAGTAATGAAAGCAGAACTGTGGCTTCATTCATTATTGTTGTTTCAGGCAGGCTGGTTCCTGGGCCAAGACTTGATGGTTCCTGGGCTAAGACATGATGATTCCTGTGCCAAGACTTGATGGTTCCTGGGCCAAGACATGATGGATGATGCCAAGGTTTCCTCTACCACCAGGGCCAGGTGAGTACTGCTTCTGCTGCTCTTATTCATTATAATAATTATGACACAATGGACAAGTATCCTTATTAATTTTGGACGATAACTGAAAACATTGTTAGTATCTTGGTTGTTCCTGTTAGTTGTAAAATGCTGTAATACATCGATGTTTATCCAAGATTAGAGAAAGAAAAATGTAGGAATGTTAAATATATACAGTTTTCCATCAAAACCTATAATCTTGTCATCAAACTCTCTCAGGAAGGCTAACGGTGTAGACCACTAATGATGACACAACACATACCATCTTAATGATCTTGCATATCTAATGACTTGGTTAGTTTAGGTTAGGTTAGTTTGTATTGTCACTCGTCATAGCCCCACAAACTGTTGCTCTTTAGTAAGAACACTTATAAACGTACTTGCTCATGAGACTTGCATCTCTCCGCTAACTGAATAAGTCGCCGTCACCTCCCATGTTAAAGGTCGGGATCACGTTTGTTGTATAAAGTCACTTGGGAAATTTTCTCGATCCAGTGATGTTCTAGAGCAGTGGGATTATATACTGTAATGCCCATTGCTTAATGTATATAGAAATGCCCATATAAATAATGTCCCCATGCAAATAGAGTGGATGTTTAAAAATAGGAAAATAGGTGAAATATTAAAGAAATATAGAAATTTTGCATATAACTATGTGCTATAACTGATTATATGAAATATTAGGGATTTATGTGAGTCCTGAGAGGGACATTCCTGGACAGGGCCGGTGCTAGGAATTGCGGGGCCCAATTAGAAAATTGATAGTGGGGCCCTCTACTCTACAAAGTCGAAGATTGATGTTTTATATTTCGTGTAGTATGCCCGCCTTAGCCAAAAAGCATTAATTACTTGATATACTAAAAGTTTAAAAACAGTATAAAAGTTTTGATTTTTTATTACAAGTTAAGACAATTACAGACAAACTGTTTATGCACGGACCTTTTAGAAACACACTTTTCTGGCTTTTTTATTTGCAAAATCTTTCAAAATCATTTTAAAGTCAAGGGTTTTGGTAATGTCACTTTCTATAGATAGCATCGCCAAATTGTTTAGTCTTTCTTGTGAAATTGTTGACCGTAAGTATGTTTTAATCAGTTTTAGTTTAGAAAAACTTCTCTCACCCGATGCGACTGTTACGGGCATTGTTAAGTAAATTCTCAAAGCAACAAAAACATTAGGAAATGCAGTGAATCGATTGTTTACTACCAGGTATTCAAACAGGGCTTGGGGCTTGGCGACACTGGTGGGCAGAAAAGTTTTCAGAGCTTCAAGTTCTTCAGCCAACAGATAACCATCTACATCTTTACTTGTTACAGTACCTACCTCTACATCAGTGTTCTGTTTTAGTTTGGTGTCAATTAAAGCTGCTTCAAGGTCTACTGTGTGTTTCCTTATTTCTGCCTTTTGTAAGCCCTGAAAGTTATTTAAAAATCCAAATAATTTTATATGGCTTTTAAGCTGCATAAATCTAGATTCTAGAGATTGAATAGCTTTGTCTAGCACTAAGGTAAAGCACTGAACTCTATATGCTTCTTTTGGATCATCAAAAGCTTGATCTTTTGCCTCATATGAAAACATTCTCTTCCTTCTTTGTAGTCGTTTATCTTGAAATTTCCTAAATTCTAGTGGTAATTCAACAGCTTCAGCCAAATCATTTGCGCCTATTAGGACATCATTAAAACCACTCTCTCTATATTTTCTTAGCCATGATAATAGTTTTTCAAATGACTCCATGCCTTCATCAATGTCCTTTGTTTTACCTTGTAGTTCCTTGCTAACATAGTTAACTTTAAAAAGTAAATCATGCCAAAATATCAAAGAAACTAAAAATTTATAGTCTTTTAGCTGGTTTGCTAAACCTTCTGTCTCTGCTTTTACCTTGGGCTCATCTGTTATCTCTGATGTTTCCACAAGTGCATCATATACTTCTCCAACCTGATAACGAATAGCTTTAACACTATCAATCCGACACTCCCACCTTGTGTCGCTCAAGGGTTTCACTGATAACCCAGGTACATGTTTCTTAAAAACTGCCCACCTCTTTGTTGATGCTGAGAACATTATGTAGATCCTTTGCAAGATCCCAAAAAATGTTATAGCATCTGGACAGCACTTGGCTACATCTCCTAGTAACAGGTTATAATTGTGACATGCGCAGGGTACAAAGAAGGCTCTTGGATTATCCTGCAACAGCCGTGCTTGTACTCCCGATGTGTGACCTTTCATGTTGCTACCGTTGTCATAACCTTGGCCTCGAATGTCTTTCACATCCAATTTTAATTCCTCTAGTGTGTTTAATAATGTTTTATATAAATTTTCTCCTGTGCTACTTTCAACCTGCATAAACTGTATGAAATGTTCATAAACACCTGAAGGAGCCAAGTTGCCATCAGAAACATACCTGATCGTTAGAGACATTTGCTCCTGGTGGCTCAAGTCAGGTGTGCAGTCTAAAATTATGGCATAGTACTTAGCTGCTTTTACGCGATTCAGTATCTCATTCAAAACAGCTGTAGCCATAATGTCTAGTAGTTCATTCTGAGTATCTTTTCCTAAATAGTGATTATGAATTTCGTTGGCCTTGACTTTACGTAAATGTTCTTCAAGAACAGAGTCAAACTTTGCAAACAGCTCCACTAAACCTAAAAAGTTTCCATTGTGTACACTCTCATTACCAACTTTTTCTTCTGTCCCTCTTAACGCTAGATTTCTCTCAGCAAGAAACTGCACTATTGCCACTAGCCTTTTGAATACTTGCTGCCAGTACTTTGCATGTTTATTAATAGTTAGTTCACGTTCTTTGTCAATAGTCTGTCCACTATAATGTCTTTGGTATAACTCCCAGAATTGCCATGTGGCTTCCAAATGGTTTTTAGAATTTTCATGCTCATACAACCTTGTATCGTATACAGTTTAAAACTAACACACGTGTGTGCGGGGCCCCCTTGCGGCGCGGGGCCCAATTTGATTAAATTGGTCAAATAGGCTTAAAACCGGCCCTGTTCCTGGACTGGGGTGGGGATGACTTATGTCACTTCATCCCTTTGAGATGTATTAATGTTTTTTGTATCTCAATAAACGTATCAATCAACTCTTGAGCCACACACTGAAATTGTGGTCAGAAGGCGCTCGGAGGTCTCCAACCTCCAACCTCGGCCCTCTTTCGTTGCCTTCACCAAAAACATAACCATAGTCATAGGTAATTGAATATATTTAGGAAAAAGTATGTATTTGAAGATACTATGGCCCTCAGTTAAGACTTACCAGTATATGAGAAGATTCCCAACCGTGATAACCCGTAGAAAATGAGAAATAATCACTTAGAGTGGAGAGGCTCAAGATGGCGGTGAGAGCGACACGACCAATTTAAATAACATGGACACCAGAGACGCGTAGTGGTCAACGCTACAAGCAGTGGGCGGGGTCCGTTTTCTTTAATTTCTTTCAGTGGGAAACCATTCTAGAAGTCAAAACCTGACGACGATGACGATTGTATGTTACCTGACCGTGTACAGTAGCACCCCATGCCACCCTACACATTTACTGGTTTTCTTCAGTAACCAAAAATACATACATAACATCTGGTATATATTGACAAAAATAGAACAACTTAATATAAAAATATCGTGAATATAAATGTTAAATTTTTATCTGACCTTCACGGATCCCCTGAAGCCCATCCATGGACCCCAGGTTAAGAACCCCTGGTCTAGAGAGTGACTTGTGTATATCGTCAATTCAATCAACTTCCGGAACTTTGAATTCCTTTACGGCATTATTACCTGTCCCTTAGGTCATCTTTCATCCCAACATCATGCATCATCCTCTTAGAACTGGCATGTTGTTCGGTGTTTCTTGTGATTACCAAAAATTATGCTCAGATTGAATCTCAATATACAAAATACATTTTTCATTGCACTTAATACGGGTTAGATTCTGGATACAGTCAGATTTGTGATCCTACCCGGAACAAAGGGGACATGTCTTAGTTATTTGGTTCTTCCTTGTAATACATCCTCCAGTAAGACATCCCTCCAGTGCATTATGGCCACCCGTCATAGTGTACTAACCGGACCCATCCTTTACTGATCGGGCGGGAAACAGTGTTATCGACAAGGTATAACCACCACTACTACGATGATATTTGTGTTTATTTGGTTTCATAACAATGCCAATTAAATTTTTAGTAGAGAGAGAGAGAGAGAGAGAGAGAGAGAGAGAGAGAGAGCACCAGAATACCTTATTATATCGTATAAAACACATCATAATAAACTACAGTATATACATGTAAATAATTAACATGTTTCTTAACTGATGAATGCAACACTCACTATTCGTTCCCCCAACTTAAGACTTTTTTTTTTAGTACATTCTGAGAATTGGACGTTACGTTTGTTTACGTTATTTAAGAACGACCTTTTTTAAGTGCGTGGTATTTATAAAAAAAAACGTAAGAGTCCTAATTCCTGTCCACCCCGCCTGGCACTCTCCACTGGGACACACAACAATCTTTTTAACACCATTATTTTGTTACTTTCATAGAGCAAATTGGCCTAAATATCTTAACTTCGGCTTAAATTTTGTCCCATATTTTATTTTATTTTTTTGGACAATAGAAAGAAGATCCGAAGCCATCGACTCTCACACCATTCTCAGTTCACTAACTCACCCAGATGATGGATCAAACGACTCCTTTACGGAATTCACATGTTGTTAGCTTGAGGCTCGTGACACCAAAGAAAGTGTGTGTGTGTGTATAGCAATGGTAATCTTTTCCTCTCCACCACTACCACCAATATTGTTATTGCCATCACCACTATCACCACCACTATTATCATCACTATCATCACCCCCTACTAAGATCTGTATCACGACCGTCATCATCCCCACTAACACCTCCACTGTCGCCACCATCACCCCCCCCCCACTATCACCCCACCATCACCACCATCATCATCACCACATCATCACCCCTACCATCA